GTGTGTGTGTTCACTGCTGTGTGTGCACTTTGGATGGGATAAATGCAGAGCACTAATTCCAAATCACATCTCCTGAGTTTTCAGTGCTGACTAATCTGAATGCCTCTGATTGGCCATTGCATTCCTAAGCTCAATAGAGATGCGTGTGGTTATTAGTGCTGCAAAAAAAAAAAATGCGTAAAAGCAATCTGTTGCAGTGTGAATCAAAATATAATTCTGCGGATAGACACTTTTAATTCATTTTCACATTTAATTTTAATCACGACAGCCACAATTGATTGTTTAATTTTTTTATTTGTGGGGCGTTTTTTTTTTCTTTTTGGTGGCCTTTTTAAATCAAAGTTTGACAGTTGAACAGCTGAGCCCAAGCCTCAGTTACTAATTCAAAAACGTCACTTTAGAACTAGTAACGAAGGAACGTTGAGTTGCTTCGTTAATATCCTTTCATCTGTTAAGGGTGATTTTGCTGCTCAGTGCATTTGTTTGCTGCATCAAGCTGTTGTTGAAACTAAAAATAACTTCCGTTTATAGCATGTATAACTTTTCAATGTAAAAGTCTTTACTGCTGACTCATAAAAACAGTCTCTTGTCACCATCTAATGACAGAACAATGTAACTAAAATCACCATCACGAACACGCACCGTTTCTCAATACTAAACACTATTATTAAATACTATTATTTATTTATATAAAATATTATTTGAGTAATATAGAGAAAATGCAGTCACTTACACATTCATATCGGTTACGATCCCTCTGGTTCACCTGCTGGGCTCAGTGATCATACTGAGCATTTTCACTGTTAATGTGCATGTGTGTCTGCAGGGATCAGACCTGTACTGATATCTTGGATCTTTACAATAAGATGAAGAGCGAATTCAGCAGCGAGGAAGAGGTAAGTGTGTGTGTGTGTGTGTGTGTGTGTGTGTGTACAGAGCAAGTATGGTCTGCTGACCCAGAACCACTGTGACAAAACTTTTGGGCCAGCTACAGCCTGCTGTATATATTTTAGTATTAAGCCAGGGGTTCCAGACCTGTTCCTGAAGGGCCACTTTCCTGCAGACTTTAGCTCCAACCCTAATTAAACCTACTTGAATCAGCTAATCAAGGTATTCAGACTCACTAGATACTTCCAGGCAACTGTGTTGGAGCTGGTTGGTGCTAAACTCTGCAGGACGTTGGCCCTCCAGGATTGGACACCCCTATATTAAGCAGAGGAACTATTCATTGTCTCTGTTTGCTCTGTAGGAGACTGTGAATGTGGACTCGGACACTCCTGGCACCTCCACTGGTCAGAGGGTGAGACAATTCAACTTATTATTTACTTATTATAAGTTTACTCAAATTGTTACAGTACCAGGTGTGTTTTCCCTAAAGCCTTCCACCCTTTTCAGAGGTCTAATCATGTGAAGCGTGGTGTGGTCCTGGATATAAATGCATGGCACGGACAGTGCAAAGAGCTTCTGAGGAGAATGATGGCAAGCTCAGATTCAGAGCCTTTCCGCCAGCCTGTCGACCTCTTCGCATACCCGGTACCTCATTCTTCCCTCTATATTCTTTCTTCACAAATACCATAATTTTCTATTCTCTCCCTTTAACATAGTCACTTCCTGTTTTCCATGTTGGAAATCATCTAATCGATCTAATTTCTCTTTCCGTCTCTGTATCAGGATTATCGTGATATTATAGACACTCCAATGGATTTAGGCACAGTCTCTGAGACCCTACTTCATTCTTCCCTCTATGCTCTTTCTTCACAGCTACCATCATTTTCTGTTCACTCCCTTTAACATTATGCCTGTCATTTCCTGTTTTCCATGTTGAAAATCATTCCGACCTAATTTCTCTTTCTGTCTATGTATCAGGATTATCGTGATATTATAGACACTCCTATGGATTTAGGCACAGTCTCTGAGACCCTGATGGGTGGGAACTACGAGAATCCCATGGAGTTTGCCAAAGACGTGCGGCTTATCTTCAGTAATTCAAAGGCTTACACACCCAACAAGAAGTCTCGAGTAAGAACCCACTTTTCTAGCTGTTAAATGAACACACTCAGCACGTTGATAGACAGACATTACAATTAATTAATTACTAAGGTGTATTCATTTTCAGGCTTTTTGAAAGAAATAAATACTTCTATTTAGCAAAGACGCATTAAATTGATCAAAAGTGACAAAGACTTGTTAAATTTTTTTAAATAAATATATCACCATTTCCACAAAAACATTAAGCAGCGCAGCTGTTTTCAACATTGATAATAAGAAATATTTCTAGAGCACCAAATTAGCATATTAGAATGATTTCTGAAGGATCATGTGACACTGGGTGCACTCTCCGAGTCACCCTTTGAGACGCTGCTTTCAGCAGAGTTGAAAGTGCTCTCGTTCAAGACAGCGCTCTTGCTCGCTTTGACATGTGGTAAGAGGGTGGGTGACTTACATGCACTGTCTACAAACA